TGGGCACCCCCAGGTCCCCAAGCAGTGCGGGGCCAGAAAGCACTCAGGCTTATCCTCTACACCCCTGCCTGTCGCCTCTGCGAGCCTCACTGGGTCTGCGCCCCCCCTCCAGCAGCCAGCTACCTGGCCGGCTGGACAGCTGGCTGCGACGCCCTTCCTGTCCGGAACCCCGCAGGGCCCAGCCCCTAGTACAGCTGCTCCCGGGATCTCTGGCCTCCACCTGGGCAAACCTCCCACTGCTCCCCTCTGCCGCCAGCATGACCTCCCCAAAACGCTTGTCTCCTCACGGCTCCCCCGAGCTTCTCTGACTCTGGACAAAAGACGAGGACCACGGGGACATGGGCAGGACTGGCCGGCATCGGGCCTGACTGTCCTTCCCAAGCTTGGACGCCGCCGCCATCCCCCTCTGTCGGGATTCCTTCCCTGTGTCCTGACAACCTGAAGGGCCCTTTCCCCACTTGCTCCACCCAGGAAAACCCACTTCTGGTGTCATTCCGAGAGGCCCCTCTGACGTGCGGGGGCCGCTGACCTCCCTCCTCTGCGCAGCGCGGCGCTTCCAGACACGTGACGTGACCGCTGCTCTGCCCACAGAGGGCTCCCCACGGGAGAGACGCAGCGCTGGTCCCAGAAACATCGCTGGGTGAGCGCTGAACGAAACGCATCAGGCCGGCGGCACGCTCTGGCACAGGGCCGGAGGGCGCCAGGCCTCTCTGCGTGGCCCTGGATGCTGCCCAGCTCTGCTTCTCTGCTCCCCTGTCCCATCTGCTCAGCTCCTGTCCTGTCAGGACCCCAATTCTCAGCACCACAGCACCACAGCCCACCTGGGCTTCTTCAGACCCATGACGAAGGCCTCCAGGATCCTGAGGACATCGTTGGGGTGCACGAGCCAGGGAGAAGGGGGGGCCTCCTTCTCTTCGGGCTCCTCTCCCTCCTGGCTTCCTCCCTCCTCCTCCTCCTCCGCCTCCTGCCACTCCTTCCCCTGCTCCTGCTCCTGCTCCTCGCTCCTGAGGTCAACCTGCTCTGGCGACTCCACTGCCGACATCAGGCTTCTTTGTTCCTGGCGGGACAGCAGAGATGGGGTTGAGTTGGAGAAGGGAGCACAGCGCAGATGCATGAAGGCAGGAAGAGGAAACTATGTCCACCAGTGGTCTCGTCATCTGCATTTAGTTTGCTTAAGGGATTTCTACTCTACAGGACTTTTTCTTCTTTTTTCCACATTTTTTTATTATTTTATAACAGTTTATTTTTACATCATTTTGTACATTTTTTTCCCCATCTCAATTGTAATCCCCGCGGGTTTCCCATCACCAAATCACCCGTGTGCCATCACCATAATCCCGTGCATTTCCCTCCCCCCCCCCATTTTTGATCCCATTCCCCACTCCACCCCCGCAAAATGTCTCTGGTATATGGTTGTTCATTATTTTTGTTATTTTCTCGCCTGGTCCATTACACTCCTGCTATGAGTGAAACCATCCGGTATTTTTCTTTCTCTTTCTGGCTTATCTCACTAAGCATGATCTTTTCCAGCTCCATCCAAGTTGCTGCAAAAGGCATGTGTTTCTCTTTTTTGGTTGCTGCGTAATATTCCATTGTATACAGGATTTTTTTTTTTTTAAAGATTGATTTATTTATGCACATAGAACTGGGGTACAGGCCAGAGGTGTGGGGGCGGATTCACCAGAGACAGAGCGGGGAGCAGACCAGGCACGGTCCAGGAGAGGTCCGCCGCGCCACGTGGGTCAGCTCCGGGCTGGGGATGGAATTTGTGCTGAAGCGGCTGCGGCCAGCTTGCTAATGCTGCGCTTTAACCTGTCGCGCCACCAGGGAGGGGCCGCTACAGAAATTTTTAATGCGATCAAATATATATTTTCCCTCTTTTTGGTTCTTTCTAGAAGCATATCACTCTAGAATTAGAATACCAAAAATATTTTTTAAATTAAAATCTCTTTAGACTAAGTTTTCATAATGTTTTTAGCATGCTGACTGTGACAACAGCCCATACTGTCACACCGGGTGCTGCACACAGACCCCGCCTTGCAGGGAGGGCTGACAGAGCAAAACGCTTTAAGGTCAGCAGGCCTGGGTCCCACCGAGGTGAGAGCAGGGTTGAGGAGAGAATCCCTTGGGTCTCAGTGTGAGAACAGCTTTCCATCCCAGCTGTTCTTCCCTTCACCGGTTAAAAAAATAATAGCAATAGCAAGGGCAATGCTGTGTTAGCTACCAAACCCTCAGCCTTTCCCCGAGACAGTACCCAGAGACAGCAGTGGCCGTGGGGAGGGGTCGGAGTGCCCTCTTCTGACTGCACTTTCTTTCCCTTACCTGGACAGACGGTGAGTGATGGACTTGGTATCTGAGAAAGAATTTCACCAGCTTATACAGGTCATCCTCACTTTCAATTCTGAGGGCCTGGGGGAGACAGAAAGATGGCTCCAGCACCCCCTGGAGGCGCCCACCGGCTCAGGCAGCCCCTGAGAGCCTGAGGCCTGGCTGGGCCCACTGCCGCCCCGCCCCGCCCCGCCCAGAGCAGCCTTCAGCCCTGGGACAGGCCAGCAAGCCAGGAACAGCTGCCGTGAGCCTGATGGATGTGAGAATGCTAGAGGGGGCTGAACACACATCTAGTTCAGGGGCTTGGGGGACCTATCACCTGAGAGCCAGCAGAAGGGTGACACGTTAACACGACTGACTAAAGGGGGGCCCTGCGCCTGGGGCGCTCCTGGAAGCCCAAGCCTACTCCCGGGCTGAGGCAGTGCTGCAGAAACCTGGACGCCCGCTGAGAATGACCCTCCCTCCGCTGCCCCGCCACTCAGCCCAGCGGGACTCACGGAGAAGATGGCGTCCAGCCTCAGCAGGTAGCCCTCGCTCTGCTCCAGCGGCAGGAGGAGGCTCAGCAGCTTGCTCTCTATGAGGAAACCCTGCGGACAGGCAGGACAGCGTTCGGGAAGGAGTGCTCGGGCCTGCAGGCGCCCTGCGAGGCCAGCAAGGGTGGCCAAGGAGCGGAAGCCCAGAGAGAAGCGTAGAGCCACAGGCCACGAGGAAGGCCTCCTGGGCCTGCCTCAGCCATTCCCGGGTATGAGGGCGAAGCTCAACGGGGCGTAAAGGCCCACCGCACCCACAAGCCAGCGGGCGAACACCTGAGTTGCCTGCGGCGGTCCAGACCTGGCCCGGACACAGGGGCCTGCCCACCCAGTGCCCCTAAATTCTCCAGAACACAGCAGCAGGCACCGGGCCAGAGGAGAGGGAGGCGTGGAGCTAAAGCAGGGTGCACAGGGCCTGGGAGGGAGCCACCCAGGGGCCACTGGGGAGGGGGAGCGCCTGAGGGGACACTGGAGCACACCTGTGAGTGCCCAACCACGTCCCTCAGAAGAGCTGCCCTTGGGCCACTGTGGCCCTGTGCAGCCCCAGGGGTCCCAGCCCCCAGTGGCTTGGCCCTACCCCCACTCTGCCCTGAGGGCTTGGCCCACTCCTGTCCACTGGGCTGGCCTGTCCCGTGGCCCAGTCGGAGTCATCATCAGGCAGCCAGGGTAGGAGCGGAAGCCGCCCCCAGGAGCCCAGCCAGCCTCACCGACTCGTCACACAGGAGCATCAGCAGCTTTCTGGTCGTCTTCTCTGAAATTTGCTTTGGCAGGTCCAGGTATGACTCTGTTTCTGAGATACCCTCTTCTGTGCCCTCCTCTCCTGCAGATGGGTCATAGAGAAGAGCCAGAGAGGGGAAGAAAAAGGTAATTCCTTGGTCTTGGTTACTTTGAGAAACAGCCAAACGACTTTCCCTAAGTAATGTGCCCTTTTGAAAAGTCCCTGGAAGACTCTGTATGCTGGACAAAGCTTCTTATAAGCAGGGGAAGAGAGGTTGTGGTAGGAGTGAAAACTATCTGGACAGGGTCTACTTGGTGGTGCAGGGGTTAAAGACAGCTATCAAGCTATAGCACGGGTAAGATCCCCAGCCAGGGGCTGACCCACATGGCGCGGCAGACCTCTCCTGACCCGCCCCCTGCTCCCCTCAGCAGTGGACTCTGTCTATCTGCCTGCTCTGCTCCCCGCTCTGTCTCTGGTGAATCCTCTCACCCTCCGCACTTCTGGCCTGTACCCCATTTCTTCTATGCTTAAGTAAATACATCTTTAAGGTGTAACCACCCCTGAGGCTTGTCTGGTCTTCCAAGAGGCCTAGAAACAATCACCGCTGCCAAAGCTGCACGAGCACCCCAACTCCCAGGCTGCGGATCCAGAATACCACCCTCATCGCAGGGGTCAGGGCTCCCGGGAGAAAAATGGCTATCTCCAGACATGAAGCAGGGAAAACATAATATGAGCCTGGAACATCCGGGCATTTCGGAAATCCAGGAAGCTATAAAAGACTACTGGGGTTGAGGGCGCTCCCTGGTGGCGCAGCGGGTTAAAGCGCAGCACTATGACGCTATCAGCAGCCACTGAAACACCAGTTGGATCCCGGCCAGGGAGCTGACCCACAGGCCGCACCAGACCACTCCTGACCCACACGCTGCTCCTCTCAGCAGTGCATTTCAGTGGATCGGCCTGTCCTGCTCCCCACTCTGTCGCTGGTGACTCCTCTCACCCGCACCTCTTGCCTGTCTCCCAGTTCTTAAGTGCATAAATAAATAAATCTTAAAAAAAAAAAAAAAACTCCTTTGTGTCAAAGGAACCCAGAAGCCAACACAAGGGGACGAGACCAAAGACGGCCGTGAGCATCTGCAAGGTGACTGCAGTGAGCCAAACACACAGGGTCTGTGTAAGTGTCTGACAAACATCAGCCGCCGCCTTTGGGAAACGCCAGACACCCGAACCGCCTACTCTGGAAAGTGGTAAGTGGAAAAAGATAAGCCCTGTTCTTCCTCTAAAACTGTATCTTAGGGTGACAAATAGCTGGTGGGGGGAAGGTTCTCACTTCAGAAGAGAGAAAAGAATGAGATGAAGGCACGGCGATAGGGCTTAGACTATCCCCATTTTGCCATCACCAGTGCACGTTGTGGATCTTAGGTTATGGTTACCAGAGGCTGCAAAAGGCAGGAACACATGAATCTGACCGAGCCTCCAGATCGGTCAGTTTATAACACAGTTTGAGAGGCAAAGCTGTGCAGAGGAGCCTTAGAAGCCAGGTCAACCAGCTGCACTCCAGCCCTCCGAGCCTGCTGGCCTTCACTTCCTGACCTGTCGAGTGGACGGGTCAACCCGCTGTTCCTTGAGGGCCCCTCAGGCTCCAGGACCCTGATCCAGTCACCTGTTTGCATCAGCACTTCTTCTAGTATCTGTGTGGCAGACTTTTGCTGCTGAGAGATGGGCCCCACATTCTTCAGGAACCACAAATCGGGGGCTGTCCAGGGGAGCCCCAGGTGCTGCACATGGATGATCCTGTCGACATCAAAGGCTGTGCGGATCAAACCCTTGGCCTCCTCTTCATTCATCAGCCAAATTTCCCGAAACTGCTTCTCGTCGATAAGAGCAAAATGCCTGTGAAGGAGAATTAGGGGGGATGGCCAACTTTCCCCAGGCCCCCCAGTTGGGAGCAGGGTAAGAACCGAGGCCAAGCCATGGTGCCACCCCCAAACGGGCAAATGAAGGGACAAGGATGACAACACAAGGGGCCTCTGGCCCAGCTCCCCAAAGGTGGGTGACATCGAAATTCAAGAAGACATGGCTGCCCCCAGCCCCACCCCACAACCTCGATCCGAGGACAAGAGTCTCGGGACCTGTGCCCCCAAATACCTCATGGCTTTCTGGAGCTCCTTGAACTGTATCACAAGGCGTTTGTAGTCTGAGGTTAGTGACCAGTTTTCCTCCTGAAATGACTTTACCTGCCTGGCGTATTTTGATCTCAGATTGTTGAGTATGTCGTGTAGGCTGGGGCGAGGAAGAAGAAGGCGTTGGCCTGAAGCTGAAGGCATGTGTGCTTCTCTTACCTGCTTCACTCTGTTCTACGATGCCAGGCCCAGCAGGTAGAAGGACAGAAAGTCCCCACATGTTTCCAACTGTCCAGGTGCCATGCCGGAAGGAAAGGGGCTGGAGGCATGGAGCGTCCAGAACTCCACACACATTCCAGGAGCCCAACCTGCCTGAGAGGCAGCCTCCTGCTCAAGAGAGTGTGGCTGAATTTTCCTCAGCGCCCCACATATCAGCGCCACTCTCCAGGCCAAACCATATTTTAACAGTCCCCCATTTGGGCCTCCCTGGTGGTGCAATGGGTTAAGTCTCAGCGCTATGAAGCTACCCACAGCCACTGCAGCACCAGTGCGATCCCCGGCCAGGGAGCTGACCCCACGGCACAGCAGACCTCTCCTGTCCTGCCCACTGCTCCCCTCAGCAGTGCATTTCAGTCAATTTGCCTGTTTTGCTCCCCACTCTCTCAGCCCCCGCACCTCTGGCCTATACCCAGCTCTTGTATGTATAAATAAATAAATCTTTAAAAAATTAAAAAAAATAGTCCCCTACTTAAATCGCCTACCTCAACTTGAGATGGAAACTGCACACCGCAAACCTATAATACATGGGTCCTCCATTCTCAAATTGCTGATACTCTCAGCAGATCCAGTAATTCATGCATTCGGTCACCATATACTCATTAAGCACGCAGTCTCTCTTGGGCCAAAAATATATTTGAATACAAAGACAAACACAAGGATGTGCTTGAATACAGGCATGAATCACCTAGTCAGATAATCATCTCGTCACTACAGTATGAAAAGTGGAGCACAGTATAATGAAAAGATGTTTACACAAAGTGTGAGGGGCATGAGCTTATACCCTGCCTTGCAAGGGAAGGAAGTGGGCAGTTTCTGATCAGTAAGAAACAGTTACCCCCTGGCCACCTGCACTATAGCTTGGGCATGCCACACCCCTGTTTCACTGCCACACCCCTGTTTCACTGCCACACCCCTG